TAATTTAGTATATTCTCTTTTACGAAATATGTTATATTTGTATGCTATATTCTGTGCCATTATACCAGAATCCATAATTTGTTATGTTCTAGTATCATGCATTATATTACTTGTACTATGTTATGTTACACTATATCTCTTATATCATTTTTAATATGTTTAAACTACTATACTACCCCCATATAACATAGTTTCATGTGATATGATGGGTTGTATTCTGTTACAGCAGATTACATCATGTCTTGTTCTGTTTCTGATATATTATGTGAACATTTCTTATGGTCCTTTATACTGTGTCACATCATGTCAGCAGAGTATGTTATGACACATGTTGCTATTTTTGTGATCGTGCATGTTTCCTACGGTGCTATACTATATTACATCATATCATACAAGATCATGCCCTATTGCACCAGATTGTGTTGTACTATAGTCTGTCTTATTATGTTATAAGGTATGAATTTTCTGCTAGTTATAAGATATGGTGTTATCTTGTGTTTGTTTATCTTATGTTGCATTATATGATATGATAGTGTACGATATGATATTCTATTCTATTATAGTGCATTATAGTCTAGAAACCTATATTATATCAGAGCTTACTACATCATACGATTTTGTACTGTCTTGTGTCATGCTATATTTTGCTTAAATTTTGAGCAAATATGTATACACACACACATATATATATATATGTACGAAATATAATAAGACATAGTACCTCTGAAGCATTACATCTAAGCTCTCGCGCCAAAAGTTCTCTATCGGCTACCACACCAGCTCCTGTGGCAGGGAGTATGGCCCACGGGAGTTCGAAGCACTCAAGAGCGATGTTCCGCACAAAGCCCTCAAGCTCTAAACCGCGAAAGACCCAAGGAGCACTGCACCGAATTACTGTAATGAGCAACACTCGGGGATGTCCTCTCGTGAGGCTACCGTTCGACTCGATACTGGCCCACAAAAACCCGAAAGGTAGGAACGGAAACCAGGCGGCTCAGGCATCTTTAGGCGAAGTGTTTTCGTCGGAGAAAGAACCACTCTCCACTCTGCTCCGTCTCAGAACCTCTATCTTTGTCTCCCTCTCGCTCGTTCTCCCTCTCTACAGGCGTTTTTTTCTCCATACAAGGCCGGCAAGGATTCACAACAACTGGTCAACTGGTCAACTCGACAAGCAGAAGCACCCAGCTCAACACTTAGAGCCTGCTACCAAGCAACAGCAGCCACACATCCCATGCCAACCAAACAGATCCGGTGAAAGCCAAGCTAAAGTTGGCTGGTTATGAAAACATGGCTAACTTCTAGTTTAAGGTTCAGACATGTACTATGTGTGCTCAAGCTGCGACAACTAACTGTGAGCAAGACAAGAAGCCAACTTAGTTTGGCAAACGCCGAAGTACGCCAAAGCTTCTCGAGAAGACTTCCTCAAGCTGCCGAGTGGAAGAAACCACACGGGAGGAGAGATCCACTGCTCTCTCAAACGATCTCATCTGCTGCAAGCCAAGGTTGCACTGAAGGATGAGGAAACCCGTGCTGTTGACTCTACATGTCTCCTACAGTGAAAGATCTCCCAAATCCCGAAGGAACAGATTCGCGATTCCCTGGACAACCAATGTATGGACTCGACGCATTACGAAGCTGCAACATCGACTGTGCAGATGCGGTCACACCCACTCCAAAGCGCAGCAGGCCCGACGAACACAAAACATTGCGATGAGCACAGCTCCCGAGATAGCTCCCCAGTGTTAGAGGTAGTTACACACAGAAAAGCAGCCCCAAATTTTCGGGTTGAGTACTTGGGCATATCCTAAACTCAGAAACACCTGAACCCAGTCGTTTTAACTTGAGCCTCTAAAGACAACGAGCTGGCTGTGAACAGGTTGCAGGAGCGATGGGCTGAGTTTGAACCTTGGCCTTTGAGTGTCTTTCGGTTGCTGGCTAGATGCGTGACTGCGTAGTTGAGTCTGAACATGACCCAGACTCTAAGATGCAAGTGTCCCAGCAATTCGCCTGGGAAGCTACCAATGATTTAAATTCAAGATAAGTAGTACCAGAGGGACAGCTAATCTGTAGCAACAGATTCTCTCCACAACCGCGAGATCGGAACCGTACACGTCAAACTCCTGTTCCAATGACCGTGCTCACCAAAACCCTAAACCGAAAGGAAAAGGCTTAATACGACCTCTTGCAACGTGCGAGTCTGCTGCTCAACTAAGTGGAGCCCACAGTGATCTATGCCGCAAGTCACTCTCCGCCTGTGCTTTCAGGCGTGAGATTTCGGCTTTGGGTAGGTGAAACCTGCAAGCCCGAAGTGGTAAAAAAAACTAAGACCGCAAGCACTAAACCTATAAACCCTCATCTTCGGCTCGAGGGTTCAGGGTCCCAGGTAGGGCTTAGGGTTGAGAGCTTTCGACTCGCACACTCGCACTCGGATGAGGGGTTTAGGGTGCAGGGTCTTGGGGTTCAGGGCTTCTAGAGTTTATAGGGTTTAGGGGTTTAGGGTTTAAGGGCTTCGGGCTTATAGGGTTTAGGAATTCGACTCACGCACTCGCACGAAGCCAGGCATGGAGAGGAAGGTCTAAAAGCTTAGGGTTTCCTAAACCCCCAACCCTTGAAGGGTGCCGACCATTAGTGGAACTGTCAACTGTCGAAGATGAGGCCGCCTCCGAACTTCCTAATCTCAACAAAGGCATATGATATTATGTTGTACTTATTTTGCGGTATATAGCATATGATATGACACTATATAACATAGTATCAAATGCTATCGCAAATTCGTTCAGCCTTTCATTCTCCATGAAAACACTAGCGACCAACAGCTCAGGGGCTTGAGGCCATTGTTAGGTTGTTTTACCGTCGGTTCCAAACGGACTTCCAGTAAACACCGCACTCGTTCAACCAACGCAGGCTGTGCGGACAAGGCTCGGTGTCTCCCAGGACAACAAAATCACATGCGAATTCCGTCCTAGGGTTTGGGTTTCTTCCCTCTGGGATTGCTGAATTTAGGGTCTAGGGGCTAAGAGACGAACGCTTTCTGCACATCGCGGTCTCAACTCTCAACTGCCTGAACTAGACAACCACAAGCCCAAGCCAACGCCAATCCAAACTGCAACGGCGACATGCAACAATCAAGGTGAAAGAACAACAAAAACAACAACAACTCATAATCATAAAGGTGCAACTTGAACAAACATAGTAGTGATAATACGTCTAGCAAATTGACAGTCCTCCAACCCTTCGCCGAAGCCATTCACGCCGGCTCTGGGTTTGAAGGTCGTGCCCGTGCTTCAGCCACCTAAGTTCAGTCAAACGGCTAGAGCATATGCAATCTTTAGATCGATAGAGATAGAGTTAAGGATAGAGATGGAGATAGATACAGATACAGATATAAGTAAAGATATACAGATAAACATGTAGATATCGATATAGACATGCACTTGGATACAGATTTAGATATAGATACAGATATAGAGACAGAAGTAGATATAGATATAAACCTAAATATAGACATAGATACGGACATGAATAGAGATAGAGATAACCTAATCTGGAAGCAGATATGATATGGATATAGATATAGATGGCTGGGACGCAAGACTCCGTTTTGTTGAAGCAATGCAGATGTCGGATGCTGCGAAGCTGAGCTTTCGCTAGACATGCAAGAAAACATTTCGCACCACTCTTGGTCTGTGGATGTTGGACCCCTCGGCTCACATGGATAGCAGGGCTGCGGGCTTCCCAAGATGCTTTGCCTTGCCATGGCCTGCGCATTGCTCACTGTCATGGGCTCAGGTGCAACAAAAGTGTGACGCACCTGCCGTAAGATGATCGCAGATGTTTCGCAGCCTTACGTTTAACCTGTGATTGCTAATGCTTCGGCATGCCGCGCAGCAGGTAGCCGAGGTGTCGGCATGCCCACGGATCTCAGCATCTCCTTAGAAAATGGCATGCTTGCGAGCACCTACTGCAGACTGTCAGAGCCACAACGCCACGTCCCGTAGAAAGAAGCCGCCATCCCGAAATCTAGGCAACAGGACGATCCTGTGTCCACAACTTTCTCGTCTCAAGCGTCCCTAGAAACAGCGACTCCTGACAAGCACTCCTCTCGCTCCGACCCTGCCTGTGCAAAGCAAGTGCACCACAGCGTCGTAGTTCTTCATCTCATGGGCCCTCGATGCTCACTGCGTGCATTAGGCATGAACACTGACAATGCTGGGATGGTTTCCCGGACTTTCGCCAACCCGGGCAGGCTATGGCAGGCTAACAGCACCGAAAAGCTGCAAGAGACAACCAGGAACCCGTCCTGTCCAGCGCTGTCTTTCCATGGGAATCTGAAATGCTGAGATCTGCCTGGCCATCAATCAAAGCCTTCCTCGGTTGTTGCTCAATCTGGAATGATGAGAAACTGTCGAACTACCTGGAGTCGTGGGCAGCAACGATAGGCGGCCACACGTCAGGGACGTCTTGCACTTTTTAGTGGGTTTTCCTGTGTTGCTTATGATAAGGCCGGTCGTCTGGCCATGCTGGCTTAGACAGACAAGTGGACATGCCTATTGTTCCAGGCAAAGATCATTGCACCCCTGCAGTTGGATGTTCCACCTTCTACCAGAAAGTCCAGCTCGAACCCTTCCTCCTGTAAATCGCCAACATGCTCATGGATTTCAGACTTGGGATTTGATAAAAAGTCTTGGGGAACTCCGAATTCTGTCCCTGACGAGACGGCTCGGCGGATCCATGAATTGCTTTGGCCCTCTATTGTCTGACCTTATGTTTCTTTGCAATAGCATCTCTTCTGCTTCATGTCGCATCACAGCGAAACTTGGTTCTCGAAATTACAGGAATGTCTACACTTTACAGCGGAGTTGGAGGCGCTAGATCCTGAAACTTGCATGCACCCTAGAGCCTTGCAATTGTAAAAACACAGTGCTACATGGCTACTGGTAAGTTACTACGACACACGTTCATAGCGTTGCCTTCTGATGGGGCGACTGCTGCCTTGGCTCAATGCCCTGTTGTTGCCGAGCATGCTGCAGATATGCAGCGCAGACATTCCGGCAGCGACCTCGGGATTCTGACGTTCTCAGCGGCAGTCAAGCACGAGACTGGAAAGTGGTGCATGCTGAAAGCTACAAGCCCTGTTGTCTGGAGGAATGTCGTGCCACGGGTGCCCCTGTGTACAATGTCCTCAACACTGCTTATTTTAAGCCAGACCATCCTCAAAATGTCTAAGAATATGTCGACTTAATCTGAAAAAATATCTCAGGACGAACTACCTTCATTAAATCACTTACCCCAACTGCTATCCCCCATAGGGAGACCCTGGACACTGAACCCGAAACCGGGCCGTAAACCCAAAACACTCCACTACACTACCCCCTGCACCCGAAAGCCCTCTAGAGCTCTGAACCCTCAAACCCTAAAGCCCTAAACCCACTCCCCTCACACAGTAAAGTAACCCCTTTAAGCTGAAGCCTAAAGCTTAAAGTCCGAAAGCACCCTAAAACCCCACCCAAAGCTCTCCCGGGCACGTTCAGGATTGGCTCCGACTCCGGTACCTGATAGTTCACGTCAGCCTCTGTCGGATACCAAGGGTAGTCTCTTTAGGGTTCGGCTCAGGGCTTGGGGTTGAAGGTTTAGGGTGTTGATTATTCCTTTATAACTCTACGTTGCAGGCTTGCCTGAAAGCGTTCTTAAACCGGTGATTAACGGAGGGGCAATCATAATCAGAATGGGATCTGAGGGTAAATGATGTATACTATGGTTATGATCAGAAACCCTGGAAGATTATGAGTGATGCTTCAGACCTCTAAACAACGAGGTTTAACTTTACAGGCTGCTTTACGGCCTCCTTTTCTTGGTTCCTTGACGGGTTCCAAAAGGGCTTAGGGTTAAGGGCTTACGGTTTTTGATTGGGATTTGAGGTTGAAGGGGCGGCTGCTCGCCAAAATTCTGCAAAATCCTCCAAAGTCTCACTCCCGGCAACTAAACGTGTGCAGTGTGTGTTTAGGCTCAAGCGCGGCAATCGAAAACTTCTGCGAGTCCTCTTGGCGATGAACGCTACAATGCCGGGCCCTAAACGAGAGACTGAATCATATATGTATATGTATATATACACATACACACCCGCGTAACACTTATGTATATACATGCATAGGTATATATACACATACATGCATACCTATATAACTATATTCATCTATATACATATATGTATACATGTACATGTATATACATATACACATATATATATGTGTGTATGTATACATATATATATATATGTATATGTATATCTGTATGTGTATATATATATATGTGTAACAAACAATTATAAGACTGGTGTACACATAAAGAAATGTATGTATGTCCTTGGGCGACGAGATGTGGGTGTCCTGCTGGCCCAAGCCTCTGCATTCAAAAGTTCTGCCACGAGCGAGGCTCCACCTGACGACCAGAATGGGCCACAAGCTTGCGAGACGGTGGGTTTCCTTCCTACTTAGCAGCTGGGTTTAGGGTTTAGGGTTTAGGTTGAGGGTTTAGGGTTTAGGTTTGAGTACTGCTGATAGTAATTACCACGACAAGAAAATCGTTGCTGCTTTTCAGCACTTCTTACAGCTACACTGAAGCCGAGAACGTTTCCTAGAGCTACGGGTGCAGGGTTCAGGTGGCCAGGGTTCCTGTTTGCTTGCTACTCTAGCGGCTAAAGCTTCGGAAATCCGACTCCGAGTGTTCTCCTTCTACAAACCCGAACCCTACTATAAACCTTAAACCCAAAACCCTAAGATTGTAGCGTGCCTGAGAGGGGTGCTGGCTCGAAGCTCCCATCGAAACAAAACAAGTCTAAACCCTGCAAAGCCGTAAACTCCGTAAACCCTTTCCCAGCATCTACAACCCTAATCGAAACTTCAAGCAGGGGTCGAGAAGTTGGCAGTCTGTAAAAGAGATGTGTAAGTCAAGCTTGACTTGGTCACGAGTACACTGGTCGCACTCATCGACTACACCTGGAGTTTTGGGGCAATGCTACGCCCTGAACCCTCGAGCCCTAGTTTATGCGAGTTTGACCGTGTCTCAGTGCCATGTTTCCAACATGGGAGGTGCATGGTCCCTGTTCTTGTAAGTGGCCTCGTGTGTCCCTCGCGCTTTGAGGTTGTGGATCAGTTGGACCGACAGTTAGGCGCTAACGCAACTGAAGCATGACACCAGGTGGCAACTCGCGTTGGTAAAGTTTGGTATATGCATGGCTTCGGAGGCCAAGGGAAGCGCGGGAGCACAGTTGTTGCTCCTGGCTCCGAATAATCAGTTGGCCCAGGAATGATCGGTTGAGGAATGAGGTTACCGAACGTTCCAGTGTTGTGGTGAAAAGCATAGACCGCAATGAGTGTTTTGTCAGGATCCAGACGTCATGTGAAACTGTACTGGCAATAACGAGATGCCGAGGTTTTCCGGTATCACGACGTGGCGATCATGCTAGGTACATGTATGTCAAAGCTGCCTGACAAGGCGGCAGCAATCAGCGGAGGCCAAGTGTTTGCACAAGGTTCCAGAGCATCGAAGTCGTTCCTCGGTATGGCGGAGTCTTTTCTGCAGTTTCGACCACCCCGTAGCTGAAAATCAAAAGGGAACTCTTGGAGCTTGAGTAGGGCTGCGTCAGGGTTCAGGACGCCTTGGTGTTATGAGACTTTAATAATATTATAACAATAATACTCGAAATCTGAAATACCGAGACGACGTCTGCGACTCAGGAGCTGCAAACTGCATTCACAATCAGCCCATAAAAGAAGGCCGTTTGACCGCAAGTCCCAGCTAGACCTATACCAAATCGAAGGTGGCCTTAACGCCCACTACAGTACTTTCGTACATATTGTCCAGCGCTTCGCGGGCAGAGGCGGTTCAGCATGTCTATCATAGTCCCTGAAGCTAAACTTTTTGTTTGGGTTTGACTCCGCAGATCTTAGATCTGCTTACAAATGTTTGCACCAGCAAGCTAAGACAATCGTGCAGGTGGTGCATGTCAGAGAAACATGGAATCTTTTGCTTGCAGTGGGTCTTCGAGCACATGTACCCGATGCAGGCACCTGCCCTAGATGACCTCAACATGCTTCTTATCGGTTAATCTTAGATCCAAGCTTTGCTTTCAACCTCAACCTTTCAACCCTAAACCTTTGGGGTCCTAAACCGCCTAAAGCCTGAGCCTATGATAGAGACTCTGCTTCTTCGCGGCCGCCATGAATGATTAGAATAGGGTTTTAGAACATGAACATTGCCGTAGAGTCATATTGGGGCACCTAAGGCATAGTACGTCGGCGATCAGTTCGGCTTCTATACTCCCGAAGTCAGCCTGGGACCCGGGCCATCGCATGAACGAGGACAGATCTGCACGGCCAGAAACTTTGCCGGAAAGAAAACCAGCGGGAGAGCCCAAGTTGAAGCTGTCGTTTTCCAGCCTCGGGATGAAACCCACCACTTCAACGAAATCACAGAGCTTGGAGCATTGTAGGGCTCAGTGGGACGTTCAAGGGCTCAAAGTGTTAGGCTTGATCCCTTCAGGCAGTGGAATCTTAGGGTCTTGCAGTTTGGAACTGGGTGGCTCGGATTCTCGAGGCCCAGAGGAGTTGTGCTCACTGCAGGCTCGGGGAACCTTCAAAATTCCAGCTTTGTCTTAGGGTTTAGGGTTCCAAGTTTAGGGTTTAGGGTTCCAAGTTTAGGGTTTGGCGGCCTTCTGTATTCTACTTGACGCTCCATTTGCAGCCCCCCAAGGACTTGGTTAAGCTGTTACAGTCTTCCTACGCTGAGCAGGGTACCTGGTTGCCTGGCAAACCGATAAATCTACATATCCAGTGGCAGGGAAAATTGGAAAAGCCTGCGGAACCCGCAGACTGGTCCTGCTTCTGCTCGTGCTTTGCCATTTGCGAGTCTTAAAAACCTTAAGGGCTCCCCTATAGAGCGTCCCCTGACAGCCAGTGCCCCGACATCGACTTCCGACACAAAAGGAAGTCAGAATGCAGCGGGAGATGCAAAAGGTTGAGCCTCGGAGCTAACAACAAAGAGCTAAAGCTCCTGGACTTACAGCTTATTGAATCAGAAGCTGCGGCCAAGTGGCGGGAGATTCTGCAAGTAGAGATGCCGAGTGTTCAACATCACTCTATACCTTCGCTACGAGTAGTTAGCCATGATGATCGAGCGCGACTTAAGGATATGTAAAGAGCTGCATGTGCAAGCTCGACAGAGGCCAATCATCCCGAGATACTTTTACTGACTGTCATCCCCCCCAAAACCCTCCCACAACACGTGATCTCATGTGGTCCTCCCAACTCAAGACTCAAGAGCTCTGCAAGACCTCATCTCTCGGAACTTCGACGCTCGGATGTAGGGTCAGCTCTACTCCAGAAGCTCTCTTCGGAATCCGGTCCTGCCTCTGGAGGTCTCCATGGTCCTGGTAAAAGTCCATCTTCCTCGTCACCATAGCTCTTAGGAGAGAGGCGGCCTTCTCCTTGTCCTTGGTTGAGAGCTTTTTGCTTTGGACGCGTCGTTTCCTCGTGATTTTTTGTTAGGGCTTAGGGCTTTGGATGGGGCCCAGAACGAGGCAAGTATCTTGAATCATCCGTTGGGCTAAAACCATAAGCAGACTTCAGATCTTTGTTTCTATGGTAAGGGCGACGAACGCTCTGACTCTGCACATGAACCATAAACCCCCCTAAACCCCTTCTTTACAGAGGCTTGATTGGAGCTCGCCCGGCAAAGTCCCCCCGCAGCACCCCTTAACCCTAAAACCCCCCAAGCCCTAACCCTAAACCCTAAAATAGCAGAGGAGAGGGCAAAGAGTCTGAAGCCCAAACCCAAACGCCTCCATGACTGTTCCCTTGGACTACGTCAGGTGAAGGGGGTGGAGGCCACCAGGTGACTGCATGTACTTGCCCATATTTGTTACCCTTACCCGCCAAACTTACTCCAAGCCCGAAGGCCCTGTGCAGAACCCAAAATCAGACCCTGAACCCGTCTCTTCTGCTCGGTCAGGCACATATTCTGAGCGGAATTCCCCGGCTCCCACCGGCTGCCTGAAGAATGTTGGAGCTGTTCTCATACGCAGAAGCAGAATTACAAGTAAGGCTCCGAGGACCCATATGCAAGGGCTTTTGGACCCGAATGCTCTATTTGTTATACAGGGGTCTACACCTGAAGGCTCCACAAGATCATGCATTATTATGGGGTTGCTTGGGTCCGGAACTTATGGGCAGGTCGGGGCGATTTTCAGTGTGGCTTGGGTCTTTACCCTCCCACTTAGCAAGGACGAGCCCGCATTGCAGGGTTAGTGTGTTGGTCTAGGGTTTTTGGTTTAGGGGCAGAAGGTCGACTCTGTAAGAATTCTGTCCTTTTATAGACTCCAGGAGGCAGGTTCGGGAATCAGGGTAAAGGGTGTAAGTGCTGTGTGTTTAGGCGTTCGGGGCTTTGGCGACCAAAGGTCAGGGCAAAGGGTTGGGGCAAATAAGGTTTATCTATTCAGTTGTCTTATCTATCTGGTCTATCTAACCTACTTAATCTGCCTATCGATCTATCAATCTATCTGTCTCGCTGCTTATCTGTCTATCTGTGTATCGGTCTAGCCGTCTCTTCGCATATCTGCCTATCTATCTGCCTATCTACCTAGTATCTATGTGTCGATCTATCTTTCTGCCAATCTACCTACCTATATATATACATACATATATATATATATATCGGTCTACTTTCATGCATTCCACTCTCACATCATCAGGAGAGCTCAGATTGCCCCGCCACGCATTAAGGAAGCCAAAACCCTGAGCCCTAAACGAACCGTAACATCCTGAAACCCTGAACCTGAAGGAAACGGAGGGCGTGCTGGGCCTCGGGGTTCGGGTTTGTTAGTATTCATGCTTTCGGGCGTTCTCATTGGTTGGTGCGGGTCTTGGGTCTCGGGAAAGGCGCAGTGGGAAGAGGCCAAGTAGCAGAATCTCCTCTAATTTTTGCAGGGGCGAGGCACTGAAGGAGAAACATGTGAACCCAACCAGACATATAACACATGAAGTGCTCTAACCTTCAGAGTGCTCAAGGCTTCAAAAGGAAAACAAACCCTAGAAAGACACGTCACAGCAGCGTCTCCACGTGGTGTGTCCTGAGCATATCGTGTCCCGAACTAGCTGTCAGAATCAAATGAAACGATGAAGACTAATGCCAACACACGGGCCATTGCAATATTTCGTACTTGAAACTGTTGAACTTTCTGCGTTTGCTGGGGCTGCCCACTACTGCTACTTCGACTGAGCCTCCATCACACTGCGACTGCAACAGCACTGCTACTGTCACTGCCACTGCTACTGCTGCTGCTACTGTTACTACTGCTACTACTACTAGCACCACCATCACCACCGCACAACGACTGCATCTGGTTGCAATTGCTACTCTTGCTTACGATGAAAACTTTGACCGTCTAGTTTGCCTGCTGCTGTCGTTTCGGTGAAGCCAGAAGGCTTCAAACTGGCCCTGGTTCGGTGCTAGAGTTGAGGCTTCGGAAAATAACTTTCGCTTGCAAACTTTAGCCTTCAATATTTGTACCTGGGATTTCGAGCTGTTGCTGGCCGAAACATTACGTTACTTGTATACTACTGATGATTTTAGACGAAAGAAACAGGCCGTGTCGAGATTAGAAATGGTAGTGAGAGGCAGAGTTGAAGTGCATACAGAAATATCGGGAGCAACACGGCTGCAGCCGACGTCACCAGGTTCTTATTTCTTATGAACACATCTCAATACTCTCCATGTATTAGCCCCTATCCGTAAGCCGAGTGGAACCTTCTCAAACACACAGAGCATGTGGGTGGTCGCTCTGTGCCTCTCGGGTAGCTATGCGCAAAGCTTACAGCTATGGACCTCCCTGAATAACCTGGCATGCGGAAGCGGTGTTCGTGATGCAACGGTGCATGGCAGGTATTTCTTCAAAGCAGGAGTCGTCTCCGTCAATTTCGGTATCCATACCAATAATGATAGTAAAAGGCCCTGCATGGCTCTGCAGTTTCTCACACAGAATTTCAAGATGCTATCGCGGCGCTGTGCGGGCGTCACATGGTGGTAAACCGACACGATGCTCAGAGATAGGCGAACTGTCATAACGAACAACGAGGAGAGCCAAGATGCAGCTCTCCAGAAGCACGTGTCTAGTTCTCATGTACCCCAATCTTGACGAGGCACGCATATTGCAGCTCCGGCCCCTCCACCACCACCGGCGCCGACATCGACTCCAAAGACAGGCAGTGCGCAGCACGCTCGAGGCGGCACCAGCCACGGGCCTGTTTCGCAGGATTCTCGACTGGGGGTGCTGCACTTTGGCAGCGCGGTGCAACTGAATGCTTCGATTCAGGCCTCGGTCGCTATTCAACAATAGCTTCGGAACGACGAAAGATCTACTTCTGAGTGGTTTCATGCCTGTCGTGCGCATGTGCTGGAGAATCATTTTTACTTCATTCTGGTTGCAGTGTGAGATGAAAGGCTGTTCGGCTGCGATCATGTCGAATTTTCAGATTCGAGCTTTCAATAAGCTGGGCTCGTCGAGGTCCTCAGCACAGCTGTTCTTGGACACTGAGATGTACGTAATCTAAATGGCTAATGCTGTCCGACCATTTGCAAGCCCAATAGTCAAGAAGGTACAGCGGCCCGACTCAGAAATTGATGCTTGCAGGTTGGGGTACTATTCCTTTGGAGTCTTATATTACAGTGCCTGAGGGCGGTGGGTCATGCTTCGGTGGCCGGGAGTATTCAATGTTCCCAGAGGAAAGCTGGTTCACGCAAATGCGAGTTTTAACAAATAGAAATGGTACGATACCGGCGAGCAGTAACCAAGGTTGAGCTATCTTGTTGCGATGTGGAAGGACACGAATACGTCCACCATACCAGACATGCATTCACTTGTTCACTCAGGTCCGCTGTTGCAGCATCCCCACTTCGAGCAGCGGCGGGCCTTCCACGACGAATAGCTAAGAAGGCAGCCGGTCTCCATGTGCTGCACGGGTGGGGCAAGAATAAAGAAGAACGCGGACATCTGCACGTAGCCTGCAGTGTGCTTGTTTGCACATCCATCCGTCAGCATGAATAATACTTAGAGTCAACAGGCGAAAATCCTGGTTATGATCTACGTACTCAATGCCCTGATCCTATCGAACCCACACCAAATAAGTGGAACTGCAAGACTCTACACCAGTCTATCTCCAAGCGGTATGCTAGATGGCGTGAATATCCCAAATCCCAATGCCCCGTTCAGACAGTCGGCCAGGGATACTCTCCACTGCATTGTGCAGGCTCTGCAGAACTGCGGGATCTCCCCTGTCAGCGACTAGCCTCGCGATTTTCGATATGGGCTGTAGGGAGTCTACTCTAGGGCCTTTGAAAGGGCTTTGCCGCAGGATTGATGTTGCAGGAATGGGTCTTCTTGGTCTTGAAGGCTCTTTCAGCTGTGAGAGCCAAGCCAGCTTTGTTTGGGTGCCGCCTCAGCAGCTGCCGCTGCCGCTGACTCTGATGTGGTCTTTGTCGTCGCCGTCGTCGTGTTTGCTCTTGCCTCTGGTTTGGTTGCGGTTGTCGGGTTGCTGCTGTTGCTGTTTCTTTTCCTTGGTTGCTGCTGTTGTTAAGGTTTTGATGTGCTTTAATTGCTGATAATGAAGTTGATGCTAATGTTGCTGTTGCTTGTGCTGTTGCTGTTGCTGTGGTCGTTGTGGTTGTTGCTGTTCCTGTTGCTGTTGGTGTTGGTGTTGGGGTTGTCGTTGTGGTTTTGGCTTTGGTTGTTGTTGTTGTTGCTGTTGCTGTTGCTGCTGCTGCTGCTGCTGCTGCTGCTACTGCTGCTCCTGCTGCTGCTGCTGCTGCTGCTGTTGTTGTTGTTGTTGGTGTTGTTGGTGTTGTTGTTGTTGTTGCTGTTGCTGTTGCTGTTGTTGTTGTTGTTGAAGGTGGTGGTGGTGGTGGTGGTGGTGGTGGGGGTGGCGGTGGCGGTGGCGGTGGCGGTGGCGGTGGCGGTGGCCGTGGTGGCGGTGGTGCTGCTGCTGCGGCTGCGGCTGCGGCTGCGGC